TCACTTGAGAAGACCACTAAAAATCCAACAGAAATCATGTAGTTGAAAACTTGAGCGAACACTGTCTAACCAACCACGGTCTCTTCTTCCAGAATCCTCGTCGGCAGCGAAATCCGGCGGCTGTTTCCCAGGCAGAAGCTTAGTGCGAACGGAGGACGGTTCGACGAAGCGTTTAGACCAAGTGGAACTCGGCGAGCGAATAGCAGCGCTGGACAATCACGGTGACATCGTGTACAGCGAGGTGATAGCCTTCCTCGACCGTTCCGTCACCGAGAGGCGACAGTTCGTCCGGTTAACCACCGAATCCGGCCGAGTGCTCACCTTAACCCCGGCACACTTGGTCCCGGTGGAAGGTAGATCGACGATGTTCGCCGGCAGGGTTCAACCAGGCGACAAGATTCTGGTGAGAGATCCAGCGAACGAGAACGAGACGTTGCGACATCGTCTACGATGGGACAAGGTGGTCGACAGTCGATTAGTACTCGAGCAGGGGATCTACGCGCCTTTGACGAGCGAGGGAACGGTGCTGGTGGACGACGTGGTGGCTTCCTGTTACGCGATCGTCGACAACCAGCAGCTAGTCCACCTCGCGTTCCTCCCGTACAGAATGTGGAGCAGCGTGAAAACGTTCGTCGAGAGGAGGGTGCACGGCGCGGAGGATCACAGGTTCACGGACTCAAGGACGGAGCAGCAGGGCATACTTTGGTACGCGTCGTTTCTCTACTGGGTCTCGTCTTACGTCACCCCATCGAGCATGGTGTACCAATGAAGCCAACAGCTCCACGTTCGATCGAGAGAGAGAGACTTCTTCTTGGTTCTCTGGTGTTCACCGCGTGAAACGCGTCCGCGAGAACTCGTACGCGAGGAAAGACTTCCGCTGGAGGTTTCGATGAGAATATGCGTGTGCAGGTACAGGCGAGTGTGAGAGAATTGGAGGTGAACTTCGTTTTGGCATACACGTTCATAGATTTCTCGAGTTTCAAAGGATAATGTGGGTAAAATGGCTTTTCAAGAATAGAACGAGAGAATGCTATATTTATTGTTAGAGAAATAGTAACGATTCAATTAGACACGAGGTGGTTAAAAGAGAGTTTAAAATTTGTACTTGTCTAATTGGAAACTTCTTCTATCGATTGCTTAGTGTTGTTCCCATAATTATTATTTTAGTAATTTCATTATTTTCATATCAACATTTTTAAACGAAAAAAATTAATATTGAAAGAGATATTTTGCTCGAGTTTAAATAAAGCATTTTGTTATAGACTAATGTTTATATTTTATGTACGATTAATTCAGTCAATTATTTTGAAACTTATATTATAATTATATTTCATTAAATTATTTATTATTTCGTACCATTTGTCTTTTAAACTTTCTTTTGTCCATCACTGTACGTTAAAGGATTGCGAAGACCAATACACACTATAATTCGACAGACAATGTGACAGAATTCACCGAGTGAAGGTTAATCATTTCTTTGATAATTTAAATTAATTATCACGCCTTATTCAAAATTGATCTTAATATTTATTACGTTGAAGGTAAATGACATTAATAGTAATACTTTTAAGTAAAGTAATAATAAAAATGCACAATTCTCCGCACTTATGTCTTGGAAAATAATAAACAATATTTACATGTTACATAAGATGTTTGATATAATACTTTGCATTAAAAGCAAAAAAAAAAGAGGGAAAAAATTAATTTAACGTGTTCTGGAAAGCAAAGTTCGACCGAAACGATTTAGAAGCTAAATAAAGGAATAAATTGAAAATGAACAGAAGAATACTGGACGAGGTGAGACGTCCATGCATGTGTTCCTTCCATCGCTTACAAACAGAAGAGATCGTAATTTAATAATAAATGATGTAGGAGGAGCCTTTTCAATTTCGTCGGATTTCATCCGCAATTTTTCTCGATTTACTCAGCTGAAGGGCGATGATTCGAGATCGCGGAGAGGAATGTATTTAAACGTGACGTTCGTTCTGGCCAGTGACTAATCCCCGTTCAGTCGAGTAATATGTAGTATATTAGGTATTATTGTTATCGAAATGATGGAGAGTTGAAAAAGCTCCAAAGCTCCAAAGAGGGCGAGCCTTTTCACTCTTGGTACAGCGTGTGTACAATACGAGTATATAATTAATTATCGTTACTTCCCTTTCCTGATTTCTCCACCCTTACGTCGACGAATCGTACTTGATTTGGTATCGCGCGTGAATTGTATTGTATTTTCTTTTTTTTTCTTTCTTTCCGTCGTTGCGAGAGAGATGGATCTCTCCAACGGAGCCCAAGAATTGGAATTGTACGATTATCGTCGATAAATCGTACAGAGAACGACCAAGCGCGTGCCTGAAATTTTATTTAAACTTTTTAAGAAGAGCAAGATGGATTCGAACGTTCGAACGTGACGCTTGGAAATTTGGCTGAATTTATCCAATCACGCGTTTTCTATTTTCTGTGAAATAGCGAGACACGCTGCACACACAGGCAGGAAGATTGC